CCCGACACAGTAACCAACAAACAGTAGTGTCCCTTGAGGTCGTTAGGTTCCAATTGCACCTCTGTTTGAAGAAGCTGGGTTTCTAGTTACGAAGTTTCTAGTTTATGAAGTGGTTGTACTTGAAATGTACTCTTGATACAACTAGATAGTCTTCAAAGCTGGTTGTTTGTTTCTTTAGAACACTTTGTCAATGAGACCCTGCGATACAGCATGTGAAATCTTATCTGGACTTCATAGTATGTTGGCAGTGACAAATATTTGTGGTTTTGTTTGACACCCCCCCCACCAACTCTTTTAATTAATTTCTTTTGCATAATTGGTATTGCAGAGATGTATGAAGCATAACAACTGTTTCTCTGAAAAAGCCATTTTTAGTGTGCTTTAGAAGGTATAGTACATGAGTGATAGAAATTGAACATGATTGCCTGATCAAATTACACTTTCCTTTGCCTGGAGGCATCTGTTAGTGTGTCTGTATATTACAATGTGTTTGCTTCATGGTGTTAACAGTTTTGTCTTTTTCTGTTTTGCATATATAGCTGGAAGGGCCATGTGTTCTGCAAATACAGAAAATACGCAATGTTGCTGCACCAAAGGATAATGAAGAATCTCAGGCTGCTCCTAGAATGTTACGTTTACAGATGACTGATGGACACACAAGCTGCACAGCTATAGAATACAGTAACATGTCAAAAATAAGGTGAACAACTTTCTTTTCAAAGTTTTGCTTTGATACTTAAATGTCCTTAAAATAATGGAAGTATCTTTAGTAATATATGGAAAAAAAGTCTTGACAAAACAGGTTTCCCTCTCAGATTTTGTACATAAAAGAGAACCTTAAATTCAGTACGCAAAGGGATATATGAATGTAATTTACAATACCATTTATGGAATTTTGCAGCCATCTGCTTAGTTGGAGTTGACATGGCACACAGCACTTCAGGTGTGTGCAATCTAGAGTCAAATTCCCGATTTTTAATAGTAGCAGATCTTTCACTTGACTTTGGTAGCAGGAATGTCACAGGTCTGACGCAACTAGTGCTGCTTTACCACGGGCAAGGCTTTAACTTGGATTGAATTAGTAAATGTTTCTTCAGTTAAAAATGAAGGGTAGGAGAGCTAATTACTGTGGAATGTGGTGATTTTTTGTGTGTTTGGTTATGAAGATACTGAAAATCATCTCTAGTGTTCAGTATCTGGAGTCATGCTATGCTTTGCTCTTCACTCCAGTTCAGAGTACTTTGATTTTAAAAAAATCTTCCTCTCTCTTTCTCTGTGAGTTGCAACAGTTAAATATAGATATATACTTCCATTTTTAAATGTCATATTTTACCGTTAAACTGCTCCTTCTGAGCAGGAGCCACCTTGCAGATTAAAGTGATGCTGTCTTAAAAGGTAGAACACTTAATGATATTTTAATTTTAGCTTGAGCCAGCAGAACTTGGAATATCATATTCCAACATGAATATAAAGAGAACAGAAAAGGAAGGCAAACAGGCTCCTGCATAAGTAGTTTCTAGATCACAAAATACTTGAAGAACAACACCCAACAGACAACATAATTTGAAACTTTTAGATGATAAAATCTCAAAACTGTCAGTGAACTCATCACTCTGTAGTAATGAAGTGAGCTCTTCCGTTCAAGTAACATTGTATGAAAATTTAATTTGTGTTGTATGTAGTTGTTTCAGGTTTGAAGTTGGATTATTAACCTGGAATAACATGCTATTTCAGTACATACCATTTCTTTAATAAATGACCCCCCTCCACAGTTTTCTTTTAAATTCTAAGTTCTTCATGACTTGGATTTCCATTTACCCCTCCCCCCTTTTTCATAACTTTAATTTTTTGCCATATTTCTTTCATGTCTTGATTTTTTTCTGATGTCATTTTTTTTGCTTTTATCAGAACAATACTGAAAATCCATTAATATTACTAAGGTTAATGCCACTAGTGCTGAAATTTGCTGACTCCACTGTGAATGTCCCTCACTGTGTGGTATGGTCCTATGATTGCAACAATAACTTCAGCATATTTTAAAGAGATTATTGTCACTCATTTGAAAGGTTATAACTGACTGTGTCCTGTTTCTCACAAGAAAAATCATAGTTTCCAGATTGTGCTGCTTGTCATATCTTTCAGTTACGGCTTGAAGATGCATGATTCTTTTATGCATCTGTTGTTTTTCATAGAGTAGATTCACATGAAAAGAAGGTGAGGTACCTGCTTGTGGGAGTTGACCGCAGAGAGCATCCATGTGTTTTTAAATGGTAATGAGAGAAAAAGCAGTACAAGATGTATGGTTTTTGTATTTATTCTGGTACAGTCCTGGCTGTTAGTAATGTATAGAAAGCTTCTTTTTTAACAGCTCTTTGTTTTTTCCTAAGTTAAATGTCTAAAACAGATGATTAACCATCTGGAGATCCTCTATTAACTGTAAATGCATCCTAGGATGAGGAAGTTAGATAACTGACTTTGAGACATCTTCTGTTAGTCTAAACAAATCATATCCTTAGTTTGGTATTGTTAAATTGGATTTTAACCAAACAGACAATTTGCAAACATTCATCTCTGTTAGAATCTAATTTGCAATATGGCATTTTTGTGTAATGAATGGGAAGCATTCCAATAAAACTATTGAAAAGTTCTGTGCATACTGAAGGAATTATTGCAGAGGTTTTTGATGCTAATTTTTATTTTGAAATATGACAATAGTAAAAGTATAATAAGAGTAGAATTTTATATGGTTTTGGTGGCAGAATATTAATAAAGGTATTTGAAATATTTGGCTTTGTTTCTACTTCTAGCCTGAACACTCCACCTGGAACAAAAATTAAGCTTTCAGGAATTGTTGAAGTGAGAAATGGATTCTTGCTGTTGGATGACAGTAACACAGCAGTTCTTGGAGGTGAAGTGGAGCATCTTATAGAAAAGTGGGAATTACAAAGGGTGAGGTAACACCACTTGAAATACTTGTCTTAAAGGATGCATATTACATTTAATGACATCAAGTTTAATATGTTGAAAGTAAACTTTCCTATGATAAGCTTTTAGAACTTTACTGTCCCAATATTTTCAGGCATGCAGCCGGATATATGTAAATATTACATCTAATCACAGAATGGTAGGGGTTGGAAGGGACTTCTGGAGGTTGTCTAGTCCAACCCCCCTGCTAGAGCAGGATCACCTAGAACAGGTTGCACAGGATGGGGTCCAGGTGGGTTTTGAATATCTCCAGAGAAGGAGACTCCACAACCTCTTTGGGCAACCTGTTCCAGTGCTCGGTCACCCTCACATTGAAGAAGTTTTTCCTTATATTGAGATGGAACTACCTATGTTCTAGTGTGTGACCTTTACCCCTTGTCCTGCCACTGGGCACCACTGAAAAGAGTCTGGCCCCATCCTCTTGACATCCACCCTTTAGATATTTATAAGCATTGAACGGATCCCCTCTCAGTCTTCTCTTCTCCAGGCTAAACAGACCCAGCTCTCTCAGCCTTTCCTCATATGAGAGATGCTCAAGTCCTCTCATCATCTTTGTAGCCCTCCACTGGACACTCTCGAGTAGTTCCCTGTCTTTCTTGAACTGGGGAGCCCAGAACTGGACACAATATACTCTCCAGGTGTGGCCTCACCAGGGCAGAGTTAGAGGGGGAGGATAACCTCCCTCGACCTGCTGGCCACACTCTTCTTAATACATCCTAGGATACCGTTGGCCTTCTTGGACACAAGGGCGTGTTGTTGGCTCGTGGAGAGCTTGTTGTCCACCAGGACTCCTAGGTCCTTCTCCACAGTGCTGCTTCCCAGCAGCTCAACCCCTAACCTATACTGGTGTGTGGGGTTATTTCTCCCTAGGTGCAGGACCTTACACTTGCCCTTATTGAATTTCATTTGATTTCTCTCAGCTCAACGCTCTAGCCTGTCCAGGTCTCGCTGAATGGCAGTGCAGCCTTCTGGTGTGTCGGTCACTCCTCCCAGTTTTGTATCGTCAGCAAACTTGTTTTGGGGTGCACTCTGTCCCCTCGTCCAAGTCATTGATGAATATGTTGAATAAGACTGGACCCAGTACTGACCCTTGGGGCACGCCACTAGATACAAGCCTCCAACTAGACTCCGCACCGCTTATCACAACGCTCTGGGCCCTGCCATTCAGCCAGTTCTCAACCCACCTCACTGTCCACTCATCCAACCACACTTCCTAAGCTTACCTGTGAGGATGTTATGAGAGATGGTGTCAAAAGCCTTACTGAAGTCAAGGTAGACAACATCCACTGCTCTCCCCTCATCCACCCAGCCAGTCATGCCATCATAGAAGGCTATCAGACTGGTCAGGCATGATTTCCCCTTGGTGAATCCATGTTGACCACTCCCAATAACCTTGTTCTCTTCCGCATGCTTATTGATGACCCATGGAATGAGCTGTTCCATCACCTTTCCAGGGAAGGAGGTGCGGCTGACTGGCCTGTAGTTTCCTGCATCCTCCTTCTTGCCCTTTTTGAAGACTGGAGTGACACTGGCTTTCCTGCAGTCCGTAGGCACCTCTCCTGTTCTCCATGACCTTTCAAAAATGATGGATTGTGGCAATAACATTTGCCAGCTCCCTCAGCACTCATGGGTGCATCCCATCAGCGCCCATGGGTTTGTGGATGTTGAGTTTGCCTGAATGATCTCTAACCGAATTCTCCTCGACTGAGGGAAGGTAGTCTTTCTCCAGACTCTCTCCTACCTCCAGGGTCTGGGATTCCTGAGGGCTGGCCTTACTATTAAAGACTGAAGCAAAGTAGGCATTCAGTAACTCCGCCTTCTGTGTATCCTCCGTCACCAGGGTACCCACCCTGGTGCAAATGAAGAAATCATAAGTGATCTTTGCATGGGAACTGATTCCTTTTTTAGTCTGCAGTGTTTGAAAATGTTAATCAAATGTGTTAAGTTTATTTCACTGCAGTTATGGGTGGTTGCTTTCCTAAACAGTGTGTTTAGTACCAAAATATTATAGAATTATGCCTTTTACAATTACCATCTGCAGACTATATTTTTGAGGCAAAAAAAATACAGTAAGTGCATAGAAAGCATTGAGTTTGGTAACCTTAAGTATGAATTCTATATTGCAGATTTCATCAGTGCTTAGGTAAATTTGTGATTAGAAAAACAAATTGGAGGTTTTAAAATCTTTCAACAAACCATAATTGCTTGTAAGCCCCTTTCCTCCATTTTAGCCTGGTTTCTGTCCCAATAGAGCAAAAGCTGCCACAGAAAGACTTTTTTCATTCATTTTCTCACAAACCAGTGGAACTTCCCAGGGCAGGAAGTTGTGACCCTGTTACAAACAGTCCCAAATACTTTCCAGATCAACTATCACTACTACTACTACGCATACATCTCTCTACTTTTACATCTACATCTCTGAAACAGAGTAGTGGCTTATGAACATGGTGGTCATTTCTGTGTAAAGTACTTCTTTTATTGTTACTGATGCTAAGTTTGGCATAGCCGTTTTTGTTATGGGTAGCCTTTTTTGATGTTGGTTTGCTTTTTATTTCTTTGAGCAAACTGGGCCAAAATTTATTTGAACATTTGAGTTACACAGTGTCCACACTAGTAGATTCAGTTTGGCATCCTTTTTTTGCTTTTATAGTTGAAAATAGTTTTTTAAAAATGTTCCTGTTTTTAAATGAAGCTGCCTTTTGATTAAAAAGAAGGTTCTGGGGCCAACAGCAGAAACATCTCATTTTTATCATTTTTATTCATATTTAGTATAAAGTCTTGTGAGTTCTCTCCAGTTCAAAAAGTTTTAAGATTGTTGGGGATGGGAGAGACACACATAGATCTAATGTATTCTTAAGGATGCTATCTAATTGGTAACAGAAGGGTCAGTAGAATTGGTTAGCTTTATTGGTGATATTTTGTACAGTTTGTTTTCATGTTTCTTCTATGTGGACTTTTAACAAATACATGTTGCTTTATAAATATTAATTTGTTCTTGAGGTAAGTGTCAAGAAATAACTTGGGACACATTCTGTTTACAAGAAAGCAAACCGTTTAATAACCATAGGTGTGCTGCTGACTGCAACTTTCAGCACTTCTTGTTAGCCAGTTCTGTTTAAACAGTTTTTGTTATAAAAAAAACATGTGATATGTTTAAAAGAGAGGTAACTAAGTTTTCACTGATACACTCTGATAAGCTAAAGTGTAGAAAGTTAACTATTGCGTATTGCTGTGTCCTCAATTCTCTGGCTCCATCTTGCAGTTTGCCAGATTATAATTTTCTTTTTCTCATTGACTAGCTCACAGTATATGATTGGGTTCCCAGCATGAATGTGGCCATGTCAGAAGAGCTGTGGGTGACAAGAAATCAGTTTGGACAGGTGAACAGTGATCACTGGAAATCGTAGTTCCAGTTCTATATCTGGAATGACAGCTAGACGGATAGGGCTCAAACAAGTCTATAGAAGCCAGATGCTACTTTGATAGCAGTTCCTGCATGAACTCGATGTGTCTGTCCTGTTCAGAAATCTTTACAGAACAGAACAGTTGACAAATAAGCGAGATTGTCAACTCAAAGATATCTGAGCGAGGACATTGCCATTCCTTGTCTAATCTTGCAGCTGAAGCTTAAATGAAATGCTGCATTGTGTTTGCATAAAAAGACAGAAAATTTTTATTTGTGTGACTATTTGAAATTACTTGTTTTGAAGCCAGTTTTTTTCTGTCTACTGCAATGTCTGAGGCGTTAATTGAGCTTCTTGCATAGATGATGAAATAAGTTTCTCTTACACTTATTTAAAAAGTGCTATTAAGTCAAATAATATTATAAAACTTTAGAATTTAAGTTGTTTATCCAGTCTGAAATTATTGCCCTTGCACCTGTCAGCTTCTAGTTGCATAGTTGCATTACTGTTTTGTTCCATTCAGAATGATGTTTGAAATTGCTTTCAGAAGGAATCAAGTTTTAGTAATGAAAGACTCACACTAGAAATATAGTGCATGTGGAATGAATGCAATATTATCACACTGCAAATATAGTTCATGCGGAATAAACGTGGTATTTGTTGTAGCATTCAATTTTATTGTAAGGTAATTCTTGCCTAGAAATTTCAATATTTTTTTTAAAGTGTCACTGTTTAAGTGACAGAAAATAAATAAGGAGTAAATGAGAATGTTACTATGTGATCTTTTTCTAGACTATTTGGAAATATAAAGTAGTGTGTCATGGACTCAGCGGAGAATACAATTCCAAATAATTATTGCTTGATAGTGTTCCCAGTGTTCTGGTGGTGACTAGTGTTTCAATCAGTGAGGATCAGTATCTGCACGATATTGTTGGTACACTTCTTATGAAGGGGGAGTACCGTCTGCTGTTATTAATCAAAATATCAGACAATCTGTAAGTGAAGGCTGAAGCAAACTTTGCTGAGATGATTGGTGAGACTGTGTGGTAGGCCCTTATATTTTTAAAACATAGAATCTGACAAATTATGGGTTATCTAAAAGTAAAGTTATGTAGTATACTTGATGATTCTTACATTTTTGGTGAAGGTGAGGTTAAGTATTGAGGTTACCTAATAAGGGAGTAGTTTTATGTATAGTTCAAAATTGATATTAGAAAGAAGTGTGAGAGGATAATCCAATCTTGTATTGTAAGCCTTTGTTTCTGAAGAGATTCCCTAGGAAATATTTTTTAATGTCACAATCCAAATATAGCAGAAAGGGTAAAAGAGGCATACTAAATGTATTTATCACAAAGTTTATGGTAAGTGATAGTACATTTTTGGTGAAGGTGAGGTTAAGTATTGAGGTTACCTGATAGCAAAAGGGAGTAGTTTTATGTATAGTTCAAAATTGGTATTAGAAAGAAGTGTGAGAGGATAATCCAGTCTTGTATTGTAAGCCTTTGTTTCTGAAGAGATTCCCTAGGAAATATTTTTTAATGTCACAATCCAAATATAGCAGAAAGGGTAAAAGAGGCATACTAAATGTATTTATCACAAAGTTTATGGTAAGTGATAGTTACTGCTGTGCTACAAGCAAATTTAATTCTAAGTTTAAAAATAGTGTTCTTGTTGCCAGTTTGCTTTTTATTCGGTGCAAAGTGAAACTTAATTTCCAAAGCAGTTGTTCTCAGCAGACAGTGCTACCTGAAAAGAAAGTGTCAAGGCCGTTACTTACCATTAGACAGAGTTCTTTCATTCTGGATAACAATTTTATGCAATAAATTGTTAAGATTCAAATTTCATGTAGCTAAATGTTAGTAAATATGAAGTCAATTTTTAAGTGCTTTTTTGCTATTTACCAGATTACATGTTTGAGCAATAGTTTGGAGTAGTCTTTTTCTTGTATGTTTTTCCTTGGTTCTAGTTTGGGAAAGAAAAAAAAAAGTGTGACCTTAACTTTAATCTTCCTGATTATAGGACATGAGGAATTAACTATGATCAAATACTCGAGTTCTTAGGCTATCATATAAATATTTTTATTATAATTTGATTCAGTGCTGAAGTTCATTCCAGAATTGCCTACATCTCTCTAGGTACAAACAAAAAAAAATAATGTGTAGGGTTTATTGGACCTAGAGTGCCTACCCTGGGGAAGTGAAGTGACTTGGCCATGAAATGACTTGTACTGTGCTGCTTCAGTTAATAGACATGGGAAGGTATGAGCACGCTACAGCAATCAGCCCCTGGCTAGCTTGTAATTCTAAGGCAGTGCTTTAAGTGAACTGATTGAAACTAAAGCAGAAAAATTTTATGATTTCTGAACTTCGAAGTGCTTTGTTTTGAATAATTTATTGAATCCTTTATCAGTGTTTTTTGCTCTAAGGCATGAGGAAAAGGATTTTTACTTTTTTTTTTCTCACCCTTGAAAGGAATTAATAATCATAAATGATTTAGAAAATGGTCTTTGGTTCCTGAATAAAAGCAGTTAACTTTAAAAGAGTGGACCAAAAGTTTTGATTTGGTTACTAGCCACATTAATATCTTATTTTAAGAAATTATTTGATAGTATAATGGCTTAAAGCATGTTCATGTTTATACTACAGTTCTCACATGATGAAATTAAATCAACTTATATCAGGGTAATAAATATATAGGTAAATTTCCTATATAGCCTTAAGTAATTAAAACTTTCTCTGCCAATGAGTAGTAGTAAATGATGTATGTAATCATGCATGACTGTCCCAGTGGGAATAAAGGGACTGTAACAAATGAAGATGATAAAACAGATGCATTATAGGAAATGGAATTTTGAATAATTTTAACAGTATTAAGGACCTGTTCTTCCTTTTTCTACTTCTAAAGTCAAATATTTCTGTGTAGTACAAAATAATTAACACATAACCAAATGTCGATTCCAGAGAATTTCATTCTCTTGCAGATTGCTGCTGTTGTCACAATTTGTAAAGAAAGAGAAAAAGTATATCAGCTATGAACAGATATTTTAATGCGATGTTTAACAATCCATCTTTTTACTGTTCATGGCCACTAGTAATTTGTATTATTTGAGAATGCTTTGTCTTCAGGCCTAGGCCACTGATTGCCTGATTGTGGCTAAGAGTTCAGAGTGCTTCTATAAATATTAATTATCAATAATTGTTATGTTTATTGTTATGGTCTTTGTGATCCAAAGATCTGCTGATGAATTTAGCATATGTACTGTATTTTTCATAAAGCCATAGAGGAAATGTTCTAGTGGCACAGTATTTTGTTTCCAACAGTGGCAAAGAGATGGTTTTTAGGAAGAGCACACAACCTGAGCTCTTATACAGCCTTGGCATCCAGAATTGTTGATTTATCTTTATCAGAAAATACAATCCTGAATAATCCTTTCAGTATTTGCTTACACATGGGTTCATGAATTTAACAGAGTGGTTGAGGCTGGAAGGGACCTCTAGAGGTCATCTGGTCCAGCCTCCCTGCTCAAGCAGGGCCACCTAGAGCCAGTTGCCCAGGACCATGTCCAGGCAGCTTTTGAATATCTCCAAGCGTGGAGACTCCACATGCTCTCTGGACAAGCCGTGCCAGTGCTTGGTCACCCTCTCAGTAAAAAAGTGTTTTCTGATGTTCAGAGGGAACCTCCAGTGTTTCAGTTTGTGCCCATTGCTTCTGGTCCTGTCACTGGGCACCACTGAAAAGAGCCTGACTCCATCTTCTTTACAGTCTTCCCTCAGGTATTTGTATAAATTGATAAGATCCCCCTGAACCTTACCTTCTCTAGGCTGAATTTGTCTGATCTTTTCTTAGATGTGCTGAAACTGTACGCCTTTACAATCTCTAGTGGCAGCAAGGTCTCTGGGTGCTATGTAAAGAAACATCTGCCTATTTGTGTGCTGCTTTGTTCTGTTACTGTAGATTTTGGTGTATAACTGAATTTTTTCCATTTGCTGTATGTGTTGCCTTCGTGATTCTGCAAATTTTCATAATTTTCTTAGTCTCCCTGCCCCTCATCCAGCCTTCTCCTTACTTAAGTGCCCCAGAATTTTAACTATATCATAGATTTTATTTTTTTATACTTAAAATGTTTATCTTGCAAGTTTCATGTACTCTCTGAAATAGAGACGTTTATCATATAATCTGGGTTTTGTTTGCAATTTATTAATCAACAATTTTCTTTTACAGAGTTTAGCAAAACACAATAGGAGTAACATTGGAACAGAAGGTGGCCCTCCCCCTTTTGTACCTTTTGGGCAGGTATAGTATACTTCTCTTTGTCAGTTCATTAAAAAGACCCTATATCATGATATCTAGGGGACCTGGTTCCAATTAGATAAAAGCTATCAAAACACTTTAGATCATGATGACTTGGATCTAAAAAATTTGCCCAGTTTAAAAAAAGTTATCCTGTCACTTTGTTGTGCCAATTTATATTTAGCACTTTTCCTTTCAATTTCAAAGTTAAGATTTTACTTAGTTTTTGAGCCTTTGATTCTTCCTCTCAGATCTTGTAGACGTAACATACTCCCTTCTTAAACAACAAAGGTATTTACAATAATCACATTGGCTACATCATGAACTAAGCTTAAAATGTAAAACTCCTTCTTTTTGGCCTTTCTAGTGGACCAAAGAAGTGTGCTCACAGCAAACTTATCTAGATGTCCTAGGTGTACATTTTTGCAATTATATTCTTTATTTAAAGTTGTGCTACTGTAATAGTATAATACTTTTCGTTTTTTCTTTTCAAATGAGCATAGGCAGTTAACTAAAACTTTCTTTTGCATTTTCAGAAATGTGCATCTCACGTGCAAGTGGATAGCAGAGAGCTTGATCGCAGAAAGACTCTGCAAATGACAAATATTGTAAAAACTGTTGCGGATAATGATGAATTTGAAAAGCAGAGAACAGCTGCTATCGCAGAAGTAGCAAAGAGCAAGGAGGTTAGAATGCATGTGTTGTAGCGTTTTACTTACTGTGATTGATCTTTTCTTGTTATTTTAAGTATTTTTCGCTAAAATGACAAATGCTTCCTGATGCTTGCCTCCTTATAATTCTACTCATGTATCTTTAAAAGGATGAATGCAAAATAGAATCTCCTTTTGGATTGATGAGAGTGTTCTTATTTTAATAAAGCTAATAAATGTATCATAATGTTTTATTGTAGATATGATTTTGATTTGATACCTCTGTTAAAAAATGTGGGATTTACAATTTAGCTAATGAGATTTAAGTAATAAATACCAGTTATCAATTGTCATCTGCTTTTTTTCAATTCTTAAAACCCCATGATTCAGTCTGAAAGAATAGCTAGGAAGTTTAGTTCTAACGTGTCAAGTTTTTATGTCCTCCTTTGGTTTTCCTTTTTAGTTTATTTTTCCAATTTGCTTGGTAATTCATAAAAACTAGAATTATATACACTTTTTACAGCCTCATTAGGGCATAGGGGAAAAAAATAGAAGTCCTACCTAATAAATTCATCTTTTTTTCTGTGTGTAAATTAGTACTTTATTTGTTGATGCAAAGCACAATCCTAAAAAATACAGCTGCATCAAATTTACTGCACTTTTTCTAAAAAGTCTACTGCACTTTTCTGCACTAGCTAAATATGAAGGCTTATTTTCATAAGTTTTGTTTACTGAAATGTTATTTTTGTGCTTATCTAAAGACCAAGACGTTTGGAGGAGGTGGTGGTAGTAGCAGAAGTAATCTCAGTGTGAGTGCTGGAGGGAATCGAAACAGGGAACTGTTCCAGAAAGAGAAGATAACAAAACCTGAGGGAAAAAATGAAGGTGTCTACCGAGAACTGGTAAGGTGGAAGACTTAAATGGAACCTTAACTGTGTACTACTAAAAAATAAAAAACAAATATAACAAAATTTAACCCAAAATACCCTGAGGAATAGGGGCTTTCTTTTCCAATTTATTTTGAAGTCTGTTTAGAATACTTAAGTTGCTTTTGTACCTTACTGGGATAGTTATGAGTTTCAATGTGATTTTTGTTAAAAAAAAAAAAAAAAAAAAAAGTTGCTTTATCCAGTAAAATTTAAACCCAAGTCCTCAGAAAACAATAATAGTAGTATATGTGGTATAGGACACTATGGTTTTATTTTCTTGTTTAAGTAAGCCTAACAGTTTTGCATATTAACATTTCTTAATTCATTTTAGGCAGGAAGACTTTCATCCTTCAATTTCAACATATCAAATAATATTTTAATGTAGCATTTTTCTGAATTAATTTAATATTTATTTTAAGAATCTGTTTTAATCCATTTACTTGACATTGAGAAGACTATTATTATTCTGATATTTAAGATAACGAAGTAGAAGTACTTTTATTGTGACATGGAAATATGCTTAGTCATAAGTAATGTTACATTTTGAGTACGGGGGGGTTACCATTGGAGAATCTGAACTGTGCCACTTAATCCAAAATATCACCTTCCAATATATTTCATAACTTTATACTTACTGATAAGTGTCCTTTGGGATCACTGCATTGAATTAAGTGGATATAAGATGAGCAGTCATTGAAGTTTCTGTGTTGATTACCTTAGAAATCTAAAAGTTCCTGATAGAGGAAGTATTTGTCATCAAGAACGACTATGGAAAGGAATTTAATGATTCTGGTTTGAGTGATGAAAGCAGACTGAAAAAGGCATTGCAACAACATAGTAGCTCAGTAAACCAGTATTACAATATTGATTATAACTTATTTATTGTTGAATATTTTCCACCTTATTTACTTTTACCAAAGGTTTAGCAATCAGAAGAAAAGACGTTTAGGAACAGTAACTGCCTGTTAAAATTTTGTTTGTTTAGTATGTGTCATCATCTTGCAGCAAGGAGAACCTCTGGCAGTGCTGTGTTCAGCACTGTGCTCAGAAATGTCAATATAGAGTTGTAGAAACATGGGCTGAATGCACCTCAAGACGTCTTTTAGTCATCCCTTTGTCCAGTGTAGGTGGTGCACCTTGTCATTCTTGACAATTGTGTGTTGACCTAAATAGACGTAAAAAAATCCCAGACAGACGAAAACCCTGACAGAAAAAAAAAAAGGCCACAAATTTTAAATTGGGTAGCTGTTTAAAATATTCTGTTTTCTGGGTTTTTTTCTATGAACTGCAAGAAACTTATCTTACATTGCACTGTAAAATGGCAGTACTTCGAACTTACCAAAACCTAATATGTCATTTAAGATATCTAGGTGCTGTTAAGAAGGAAATATGAACCCACTAAGATTATATAGAAAGCCTTATTTGATTATAAATAATGGGGTTTAGATCTTAAAGCAATGGATAATGAATTTGTGATTTCAAGTAGGTTTGATTGTTGACTTTCATGTATATTGTTGACTTGTATGTATATTTAGAAACAACTAAAGGTTTTTAGTCCATCTGGTGTGTTACCTTCCAAGAAACCTGGAGCATTGTATCTTTACCTACAAAACAAGAAACAAAGAGGTAGTTTTTTCTGTTTCTTTTTAGACAGACAATAGATTGTGGAGGTCAATCATCCTCCTCTCTTAATAGTCCTTATAGGATATGTCCTACAATTCTACTTGTCTTTCCAGTTTTGTATACGAGAAGCAAGATTTGTGCTGTTTAAATGAAGTTGAAGGGAGTTTTTTTGACATCTGAAGATACTTAACATGCTGCCTCCTCTCTCAAACAGTCTTTGTATCTGGGAAATTCCCTTTCCCTTGAGTCTCAAATTCTGACCCATGCAAGATTTTTTTTTTTTTTTTTTTTTTTTTAATCCATAGCTGAGAGAATGGGTAATGTATATATGAGTCTTCATTTCCTGCTGGTCTTTGAACATAGCTGTCGTGCACAGAATTTCCACCGTTGAAAGGAGATGATGCAGCAGTAATGGCTAGAAGTTCTCTTCTCATCCAAACTAGCTACTTAGCTATAAAGGGGAGAAGAGTAAAGCAGATTTGCTGAGGAAGCATTTATCTCTGTTGTACCCTTGTTGCCATGCAGAAGAATCTATGAGAATGGCCCAGAGGAGGAACTATTGTATTCTTTCATTAAAAATAAGACATTATTTAGGCAACTGGAAGTCAAACTCAGGTGGGATGATGGTTCCCTGTAGACACTGAGGTCATGTTACTGCCCCATTGGTCTTCAGAGACCTTTGAAATTGCTATTCCTTTACTCGGTCAGTCTTTGGACAGTTAATTTAAAGAGTATTGTTGAGTTTGGGAATGAAGAAAACTACATGAAGGCATTTGAGTTAACATTGCTGAGCATGTGGGAGTTGTAGCCAAGCACTGCAAAGTCATGTCTTGCTCGTTACAGTAACTTTTGCATAGCTAAGCATAGTTATGAAAGTTATTTGAGTTGTTGCATCTTCAGGCTTGCCATATTGAGAAATCTCTATATTGAGATAGCAACCACGAACACTGATTTCGTGTCTCTGCCCCTAAAAAGGAGACCTGCTTATATCTGTTGTCCCAGAGCACAGTGTGTAGCTGGAATTAAGATACAAAGTGAATGCATTAAAACATGAGGAGAAATGAGGAGTGGAGAAATTGCATCATAAGACTGTGGAAAATAGGGGAGGGGGGAGGGTTAAATGTTACCTTTCATACAACTCTCATACAGTTGCAATTTAAATCATTCTAGTAATAAAAGTTCATGTTCTTTTAAGCAGAATGAGAAAGAAGGATTGTATGTATCTAAGAGGTTAGGTTTGGTTGGGTTTGGGGGTTTTGGTTTTGGGTTGTTTTGTTTGGTTTGGTTTTTTTGAGGGTCATGGTATGACTATTTTGGAAGCTGTAGACAAAATGTTATAGTCATGGGACTCGGGTTAAGAATATATTTGGTTACAGCTGTTGCAGTAGATGGATAAGAGGTGTCATTTTGATTGGGTATGGGATGAGAAAGGCCAGAGGGTCTAGTCCCACTTCATGTTTAATGCATGTAGGTCTGTCCGCACTGGAAGAGTCAGTTCTCACTTGAGTGCTTTAATGCACAATGTTAAAGGTTATATTCTGTATTTAATGCTCTGTGATTTCTGCTTTGCCTTTTTGTCATCGTGCTCAATACAGTTTAGAATAAGAAAGCTTGTATTTCTTTGTAAGTAAATTGTTTGTATGTCTTTGTTTTCTTCTACAGAACGTTTAGCAGTTATATTTTCTCTGTGTTTTAATAAGTGTATAACTAGGTTTTGTGTTGTCTGTAAAAGTTGTGAAAGGATTCAAACAGGAACAAATGGCTAGGTTTTATACCAGTTATTACTTTGAGAAATTCCTTTTAATTTTCATCTCAGAGAAAGTATATTACAGTCTGTCATCCTATTCCAGTGTATGGCGAAGGAAGAGGTAGACTACAGGAATTTGTACTTGAAACTGCATAATATTAGAACTGAAATTTGATGAATTAAAAATCATCATAATTATATTAAAAAACCCCTCTACTAGCCAATTGTTCAGACCTAAGAGAGTTTCTTTGTGAAGATATTATATAAAACTGAAATACTTATCATCAATGAAATATGAAATGGTGTTTCAGTTGAAAATTAATGAAAAAATAAAGTAAAATCTCGTATTTTTGTAGGGTCTCTGTTGTATCTTACAATTAGTTCTGTGTGTACCTTTTATTTCAGGTTGATGAAAAGGCTCTAAAACACATAACAGAGATGGGTTTCAGCAAAGAAGCAGCAAGACAGGCACTTATGGATAACAACAGCCTAGAGGCGGCATTAAATTTTCTTCTGAACAGCAGTAAACAGAAACCCATTCAGGGACCACCACCTAGAGGTATAACTTGCAAAGAAATGCTTTAAAACAGTGTTTACAAGACTTTGTGTATGGTGGATTACTAATGTAGTTATAGAAGAGCATATCTACATGTGTTTTTTTCCTGTAAGTTAGAATGCATTGCAAACTTGAAAGCAAATACTTAGAAAAGACCTCTATGTATTTTTGTAAAAATTTTTGAATTTGAACTCAGATTTGAATATCTGTAAATGGATCTATATTGTCTGTGATAGAATTTTTTAAATATAGAAAATACAAACATTTTATAAATCAAATATAACTTTAAAACAAAAAGTGTGTACACTTTTTTTTATTTATTTCCACTTAAAAATAACTCTTGATGTTTACAGGTAAAGGGAAGGGCCGAGGCCGAATAAGAGCTGAAGATGAAGAAGAGCTAGGAAACGCCAGACCGTCTGCACCAAGCACGCTGTTTGATTTCTTGGAATCCAAAATGGGTACTCTAACAGTAGAGGGTAAGTTACTGAAATTAATGTATCTGGAACCAATATTGGACAGAATATGGTTGGTAGAATTCTTTTTCCTAACTTCGTAATCTAAAAGGTGGTTCCCAGAACTTCCTCCACAGTCAGCCGTAAAAAAACCAAGGAGTGCTAGAGAGCTATTCCTCTGCTTTGAAGAAAGGTCAAATAAATTGCACTGTGGTGGCTTGTACTTCTGTTTTGATTATAGAAGAGCTTAAGGTGTTTGTTTCAGGCTTAGATGTCTAAAACTCAGTAATTTTGAAACAAAGTAACATAAATCCCACTTTGTTAATCTAATTTGATGAAGGCTCTTGCAACTTTAATGCACTTCCATGTTGTTCAGAAGTAAGTAAATAAAAACGCCATAACTGCAGTCCTCCTGCCTCAGTTTATAAACAGCATGTTTTGTGTGCTGCCCAGTTAAGAGTTTAGTAATTGAGGCAAGCTTAATTGTTTGTGTATTCCCTCTATGTGTGGGGGGGAATCTTTTTGACTGCTGTAAAATATTAAACAACTATTTTCTTCTGATTTTCCTGTTTAATATCTGTAAGGACTGAGGGAAAGGTAGGATTTTAGAAAAAGGGAAGCCAAATAATCCCTCAGATTTAATGCAAAAGATCTGGGCTTTTTATTTAATGTCCTTTTAGTTACTTTTCTTTCTCAGTGTAATATATAAATCAGGATGTCTGTTTAGGTCTAAGTCATTCAGTACTTTGTAAACTTTGACAGATGCATTAAAAGAAAGAAGAGAAAACTCCATACCTCCTGAGGTCTCTAGAGGCTGTTGTAATATTAAAGCAAATCTTGTGGTAAGCTGAGTAATAAATGGAGGTGGTTTTTTGTTTTGGGTACGGCCTTGGAGGTGTTTCAGCAGCCAACATGAAATGAAAGTATTTGCTTCCATTATTTAACATTGCTTTGAGATGGAGTTCTGATTTTCTTTCTCCCTATAAAATGACACTTTTCATAAAGGATGGAAAAAAGGTTATACTAGTTTATATGAACTATTTGATATTTTGGAGTTTCCTAAGGAACGAGTGCATTTAAGGAGTCACTGCATTGATATGTAATTATTTTTTTAACTTAAGTTCCGAAATAGTCTTTGTTGACTGTTAATAATGGACTCTTGCTTTGTGTATTTTCACTGGATTTAGGATTTAAAAAGAAGAAAGTAATATGGAAAAAGTAGAAAACGAGCTTGTAGTAAATGAAAGTCAACAGGTTGCCTTGGTGAGAAAGGTACGAATGGCTATAATGTCAGTAGGCACTGGCATCTAAAAATACAAGTAGAACATCCCCATCGCTGTGGTTAGTCGAGAGATTTTTTTGTTGAATGTATTATTTTTGTTTGTAGCTTACATGTATTAAAAATGTGCCAATACTTGTCTTTTTGCTACAGCAGTAAATTTAGGTTTAGTTGTGTTTGAGAGTCGTTATTGAATTAGAAATGAAAACAGGAAGCCATGCTGACTCTGTCAGCGCATCAAAACCCCAGTTTTGTGTGAGAATTATTAGGACTATCTGCTTTCCATTAAATGTATGGCATATTTTTTTCAAGAGTTATTTTTTTAGATCTTTTGGAGCTTTGAAGCTGCACATGTACAGTTGTTACTTGCATAAGCAGTGTAGCGTTTTGCATTAACGTGTTTGAATATTTTTTGCAGCCTCTAACAACTAAAAGCATATTCAGGGGGAAGGAGACACAGCAGTCTAGAAATTCAGTTCTTGGAGCTGTACAGAGGATGATATTATCCAAAAAAAGAGGAAGTGGTAGCAAAGACAAGACATGTGTTATGTCATAGAAAACTTGCCTCAGCAGATGGGCCCAGGAATTAGTGAACCTGCTAGCAAACCCAGGCATCTCTTGCTGCTGCTGGTAGAATTAGATGTACTGAGAGCCATTTTAGGGTTCACTGAACATTTTTATGACGTGCTAAGGTTTAACTATGAACAGAAAGGCATTTGCTTATAAATATTATAGCTCATAGTTCTTTTGATAGCAAATACTATATTGTTGCTATACCTGGGTTGAGTTTCATTGCAACAGTGTATTTTTGGCTTGCAAAACAAGCGATTTCAAAGAGGTAAATATTGTTTTATATTTTAGTTGGATCTAGGTCTTACTAAACAGTTTGTAGGACGTAAAAAACATAATGGAGTTCCTTTTCTTATGAAAGTTATTTGTAGTTTGTTTGTGGGGAGTAGTCACAAATTTATGGCTTGCTTTATGAAGCACACCTAGTTGTAGATCGAACGTTTATATTGAGTCTTCACTGGTTTTGTCAAAAATTTAAAATAATTAAAAATATTTAAAATACCTTTCAAATACACAAGCATTCTGCACTAGCTGATACAATTTTGTAAACTGTTTAGAGAATTAATATAATCACATTTTAAAAAGCATGCATAGGCAATTATGCTTCAGATGTATCTTTTGGCAACTCATTTTGTGCACCAAAGATGAGTTAGATTTTTACAGTGAACAGAAATGAAAACATTGGTAGTGTTTTTCTCTTGCATTACAAATGTGGGGTTTTTAAAAATTATTTTTATTTGGATAATTTTTGTGCTTATATTGCCAGATTAGAGAACACTTTTATGTGTGACTGAAAGACATTCAAAGGAAAAATAGAAGTAATCCCTATGGGATTATATGCCTTTCTTATTGTCAGTAATTTTAGAGTAAGTAAGTAATAGTAATTTACTGAGAATTGTGATATGAGTGAATTGCTTCTTTTAAAATGATATTGATGGCTGATAGTGTTTGCTTAGGGGAAGTTTTATGATTCTTTGGATTTAGTACATGTATGTAGCCAACATACTTTAGTGTAATAAAGCATAGTGTTATGTGAGTAAAAATAATGATTATATTAGCATATATATTTCAGTTTATAATCTTCAGTATTGTGTTTTAAAGAGAAATAAACTTTGCTTTTGTGTATTTTTTTCCTCTTAAATAAAAAGAAAAAGATTCCATAAATGTCATAAGAAAAAGATAATTCTATGAAAGCTTTGTAAAGGCCCTGTACTCCTTCAGTTGCCAAAAGTTCTGACATATTTCCTACATGACACACCGGGTTTTTGGTTTTGTAATTTTTTTTTTTTATCACTATGGTGGGGTGTTTTAGCATTCTTTGAATGACCACTATACAATCTGGTGTACTATTCCTAAGTCATGCTTTTCTGGAAAAAAAAACCACCCCACAAAAAACCCACCAAAGCAACCAAACAAAACCCCCACTTGTTAGCAGTCTTGAGTTCAGACAGTGTTCTGATTATTTTTTGAGATTTTTAAAACATATTTCTGCCTTTTATCTTTCTGAAGAAATAATAGTTCATGTTCTTGTACTTCCTGTTATTTGGAAGTCAATGGGCTTTACAGTGTTTGCTCAGTTTCAATTTGTTAGTTCTTATTTTCCTTATGGAATGTGTCTAGCCCATAGGATTGTGCCTCTGTTTCTGTGCCAGGTTTTATTTTTATCCTGCAGTCTACTTCAAATGGATTCTTCAAGAAATACACAGGTATATGCTGAATTGCAGGGGTTTTGTCTCGTAAAAGTGCTTTTTTTTCCTTGCCAAGTTTGAGAAAACTTGTGCAGTGTTATGAATTCAAACACATCTTAAAAATAAATTATTCAAAGTGTTATTTTTCCACCATTTGTATGCCTCTGCGGTTGAAAATAATCTCATTCAAATTCTTAATTATTAGTTAAGTTCTGTGCAAACTGAGATGATGTGAATGTTAACAGTATTTGCACAGTGATGATGTATCCGCAGTGATTATACTTACCACAGCGAGCTTTTTTGTCATGAAGTCTGCATCCAAGTGTTTGCAGAAAACAGGATACATATTACTAGCACCTTTTTTATTTCATTTGATTCTGTCAGTTGTTAGCAGTAGAGACATGTAGTTCTCTCTTAGTATTAAAAAAATAGTGATCAGAAATGAAAGGCTTATCGGGGAACCTTCTGGAAACCACTCAAATATGTAATGTTAGATAACCAAGAATAAGGTCTCTTCATTTATTTTTCTGCATAGTAACTGTACTAAGGAGGGCCCAGGCAGGCAAGTTTTTCTGCTTTTGTATGTAGCATAGTATAGCCTCCACTGAATATAAAAGAAGATTGATTGTTCTGCAGTATTTCTGGCCCCTTGCTGTCCTGTATGGTGTGTAAAATCCAAGTTTGTTTTTCAGATATTTAGAGATGGCCTTTGTATAGGGATAGTGGTTTTGAATAAATGAGCATACCCCTAATACTGCACTAATGCATATGATCAGGCGCATATGATTACCTGAAATCGTCATATTTATCATTATCTCAAGCATTAGGCTTCTGTACCCTTCAGACAGATTCTAATTTCTTCTAAATGACTGAGAGTCTATGTAGAAGCAAAAACAAAAGACAGTTTTGCTTAACTGAGATAAATCTTTTTTAATTCTGTGTTGTGCCACATTTTCTTCAAAAACTGTTTATGTGATTTGGGGAGAAAGTGTCTGAAAAGAATTGTTTCTTTCAAGCATGTAGAGGATAAATTTGCTTTTCTCTGTGCATCCCTCCTTGTTTTTCTTATCTAGTGATTCCAATTGCACCTGAAACCTCAGTACTGTTGAGAATTTCTAAATTCATTTCTGGATTTGCGGTAATCAGGCTATGTGGTTCCATTTGTGAACAGGAACTGCAGACCAGTTGTTTTATTTGTTGTCTTTGATTTAGTACCTTTTCATAGTTGGATTTAGACCAAGTAGAAGAATATTTATGAATTAAAATAGCTTTGTATTTTGTTTGGGAGGTACTTGTATTCCTTTTTAGAGATAAGACAGCACATTAAGCTCTTTGTTGTTTATTCTTTTTAAAGAAGTGTGAATTGGTTATAAGAAAGTAAGGTGTTAGTCCTTTGCCCTGTATGTGGTGTCTTGTGAGGTTTTTTTTACATGTAGTCTCTTTATTTCAGAGTTAATGAAATACTGGTTTTAAGTAATTACAGCTGT